CGAGTAGTCGTCAGATCGAGCTTGCTGGACATTCATAACATCAGCATCTGCTCCTGCAGCATGCCTTTCACCTAGCGGTGCATCAAGGACATAATTCTTTTGTGCAGCAATGAGGATAATCCTCAAGTTACGGACCCAGTCCATGTAGTTGCTACCATCATCTTTCGGCTTAGCTTTCTCTAGGAACGCATTAAAATTCAAGGGAACAGTAGCACGGGCCATTGATCTACAACATAGATATGCAAAAACTATCAGGACTAAGTTCATGATAAATCAAGTTCAATTAATCAAACTACTTAAGAACTCCCACTTAGATAGACATCCCTCAAGTCATCTAAATGATACGTTCTAAATGATACGTGATCCAAATCAACTAAACCATGTCCGATGATCACGTGAGATGGAGTAGTCATCAATGGTGAACATCTCTATGTTAATCATATCTACTATATGATTCACGTTCGACCTTTTGGTATCCAGTATTCCAAGGCCATGTCTGTACATGTCAGGCTCGTCAAGTTTAACCCGAGTATTCCGCATGTGCAAAACTATCTTGCACCCGTTGTACGTGAGCGTAGAGTCTATCACACCTGATCATCATGTGGTGTCTCAATAGATGAACTGTAGCAATGGTGCATACTCATGGAGAACACTTTTACCTTGAAATTTAGTTAAGGGATCATCTCATAATGCTACTGACGTACTAAGCAAAAATAAGATGCATAAAAGATAAACATCACATGCAATCAAAATATGTGGCATGATATGGCCATCATCATCTTGTGCTTTTGATCTCCATCTCCAAAGCATCGTCATGATCTCCATCGTCACCGGCTCGACACCTTGATCTCCATCGTTGCGTCGTGGTTGTCTCGCCAACTATTGCTTCTACAACTATCGCTAACACATAGTGATAAAGCAAAGCAATTGCATGGCGTTTGCATTTCATACAATAAAGAGACAACCATAAGGCTCCTGTCGGTTGCCAATAACTTTTACAAAACATGATCATCTCATACAATAACGTATATCACATCATGTATTGACCATATCACATCACAACATGCCCTGCAAAAACAAGTTAGATGCCCTCTACTTTGTTCTTACAAGTTTTACGTGGCTGCTACGGGCTTCTAGCAAGACTCGTTCTTACCTACGCATCAAAACACAACGGTCTTTCATCAAGTTTGTTGTTTTAACATTCGGTCGTAGTCAAATTTGATTCAACTAAAGTAGGAGAAACCGACACCCGCCAGCCACCTTTATGCAAAACTAGTTGCATGTCTGTCGGTGGAACCAGTCTCATGTGCGTGGACATGTAAGGTTGGTCCGGGCCGCTTCATCCCACAATACCGCCGAATCAAAATAAGACGTTGGTGGTAAGCAGTATGACTATCACCGCCCACAACTCTTTGTGTTCTACTCGTGCATATCATCTACGCATAGACCTGGCTCATGATGCCACTGTTGGGAAACGTTGCATGGAAAACAAAACAATTCTACGCACACGCAATGATCTATCCATGAAGATGCAATGCAACGAGGGGGAGAGTGTGTCTACGTACCCTCGTAGACCGTAAGCGAAAGCGTTTCACAACGCGGTTGATGTAGTCGAACTTTCTTAGTGCTCCACCGATCGAGTACCAAACGTACGACACCTCTGAGTTCTGCACACATTCAGCTCGGTGACATCCCTCGTCTTCTTGATCCAGCAAGGTGTCGAGGTAGTAGATGAGTTTCATTAGGACGACGGCGTGGTGACGGTGATGGTGTAGTGATTCTCGCAAGGCTTCACCTAAGCACCGCGGAAATATGACCGGGGGTGTAAACTATGGAGGGGGGCGCCGCACACGGCTAACAATTGATGTTGTGTGTTCTAGGTGCCCCCCTCCCCACATACATATAGGTAGGAGGGGAGGAGAGGCTGCCAGGGGGCACCCCCTTTCCTATTTCCACTGGAGAAGAAAGGAAGGGGGAGAAGAGAAGGCAGAGGGGGGGAGGGGGCAAACCCCCTCTTCTCCTTCTCCTATTCGGCCATCTGCCATAGGGGGGGGGGCGCCACCAATTGTGGGCTGGTGTGCTCCCCTCTCATGGCCCATATATTCCCCCGGGGGTTCCGGTAACCCCCCGGTACTCCGATAAATATCCGATACATTTTGGAACACTTTCGGTGTTTGAATATTATCGTTCTATATATCAATCTTTACTTCTCGACCATTTAGAGACTCCTCGTCATGTCCGTGAGCTCATCTGGGACTTCGAACAACATTCGATCACCAAATCACATAACTCATACTCCCTCCGTTTCTTTTTACTCCGCATATAAGATTTGGTCAAAGTCAAACTACACAAAGTTTGACCAAATTTATATAAAAATATATGAGCATCTACAATATTAAAACTATATAGTATGAAAATACGTTTCATGATGCATCTGATAATGTTGATTTCATATTGTGAATGTTTATATTTTTTAATATAAAGTTAGTCAAACTCTACAAAGATTGACTTTGACCAAACCTTATATGCGGACTAAAAAGAAACAGAGGGAGTATAATACAATATCGTCATCAGGCGTTAAGCATGCGGACCCTACGGGTTCGAGGACTATGTAGACATGACCGAGGCACCTATCCGGTCAATAACCAATAGTGGAACCTGGATGCTCATATTGGCTCCTACATATTCTACAAAGATCTTTATCAGCCGAACCGTTATGACCACATATGTTATTCCCTTTGTCCATCGGAATGTTACTTGCCCGAGATTCAATCGTTGTTATCTTTATACCTAGTTCAATCTCGTTACTGGCAATTCTCTTTACTCGTTTCGTAATACATCACCTCGTGACCAACTCCTTAGTCGTTTGCTTGCAAGCTTTATGATGTGTATTATCGAGAGGGCCCAAAGATACCTCTCCGATACTCGGAATGACAAATCCTAATCTCGATCTATGCCAACCCAACAAACACATTCGGAGATACTTTTAGAGCATCTTTATAATCACCCAGTTACGTTGTGACGTTTGATAGCACACAAGGTATTCCTCCGGTATCTGGGAGTTGCATAGTCTCATTGTCAAAGGAATATGTATTTGACATGAAGAAGGCAATAACAATAAAACTGAACGATCAATATACTAAGCTAACGGATGGGTCATGTCCATCACATCAATCTCCTAATGATGTGATCTCGTTATCAAATGACAACTCATGTCCATGGTTAGGAAACCTTAACCATCTCTGATCAACAAACTAGTCAAGTAGAGGCTCACTAGGGACACAATGTTTGTCTATGTATTCACACATGTATTTATGTTTCCGATCAATACAATTCTAGCATGAATAAGAAAAAAAATAAAATAACAACTTTATTATTGCCTTTAGGGCATATTTCCTTCACCCCCCTCAGCATGCAACAGCTCTACAAGCTACACGGCTCCCCCGGGGCTATCGTGTCTGACCATGGCCCAGTTTTTACCAGCCACTTCTGGCAGGAACTGTTTAAGTATGCATGTAACGAGCTGAGGATGAGTACCGCTAACCACCCATAGACCAACGACCAGACAGAAAGGGTGAACCAGTGCATCGAGACTTATCTGTGCTGCTTCGTCCAAGCATGCCCGAAGCGTTGGAGCTTTTGGGAGCCATTGGCGCAGTTTTGGTACAACTCCTCACACCACTCTGCCATCGGGATGACACCATTCAAGGCCATGTTCGAGAGGGAGCCGAGGCATTGGGGGTTCACTACATCTACTTCCTAAAGGGTGCCAGCACTGCAAACGTGGCTTGAGGAACGGGCAGTCATGCAAGACTTGATCCAACATCAACTTCATCGCGCGCGGCAGATCATGTAAGACCAGGCGAACAAGAAACGCTCCTTCCGCCAATTCCAAGTCGGCGACCAAGTCTTCCTCAAGCTCCAGCCATATGTCCAGTCTTCGGTGGCTCCTCACGCCAACCAAAAGGTCAACTACAAGTTCTACGGGCCTTTCCTGATCATTACCAAGGTCAACGACGTGCCTACGAGCTCAAGCCGCCACCTCAAGCCACGGTACACCCCGTCTTCCATGTCTTGCACCTCCGTCACGCGCTCCTCCCCGGCATCATCGCGTCGACGGCGCTGCCAACGAGCTCTGAAGACACGACGATCCCGGTCAAGGTGCTAGAATCAAGATGGTGCAACAAGAACAACACGATGATCGAGCAAGTTCGTGTGCAGTGGTCTTCGGGAGCCGGCCTCGACACCACCTGGGAGAACAAGCAAGCACTCCAAGCAAGATTTCCTGATGCAGAGGCTTGGGGGCAAGCCTCTTCCCAAGGAGGATGGAATGTCAACGCCCCTGACGAGTCGACCCCACCAAACAGCAAGACACTGGCACGGCTCGACCGCGCCAGGCGCAACAACCCCCGCTTCTTCGCCCCAGAGTGGCATTGGCGGCCCAACCCATCACCTGCTATACTTAAGCCAGGCACCGCCCCCTTCGCTCACCATCGAGTGGATCAGAAACGGCGGCGGCGACACGAACTGTATTCCCTTTTTCCTGTTCTTTGATTCGTGTATCCCATCTTGTAATTGCAACTCGAGTTGTTATTCCTCAGACAATAGATCGATCCACCTCGCTGTTCCTAACATAAAAGGAAAACAAAAAAGTGAAAAAACAGAAGAAGAAAATGTTTTTTTTAGGGGAAGAAGAAAAAAATGTGCATGTGGCCTCCCGCGAGCTAGGTCGGCCCAGTCTCGCGCTCCCGCCGAGCCCATGGGCCTTGCACTTACAAGTGGGCCTCAGCAAGCCCACGTCTCAGTTCGCATCATCCCCCAGTCCGCAATGCGCACCCACCCAAACCCTACCCTTCTCGCACCAGCTATAAATTCCACCCTCTCGCTTCGCTCCCCCTCTCCCGCCGCCGCCCCTCTTCTCTTCCTCTGCCCACAAAACCCTAGCCGTCGCCTCACAGCTCGCCGCCGACGCAGCGAGCTCTTCCTCCACCGCCGCAACCATGGCGACCCAGATCAGCAAGAAGAAGAAGGTAAGGAACCACCTAGACCCAGCGTATTCCGCCGTCCCCAGCACGATCTATCGGTGGTGCATCAACCGATCTAACGATTTCCCGTTTGCGCTTCCTTAGTTTGTGAGCGATGGCGTTTTCTACGCCGAGCTGAACGAGATGCTGACCCGGGAGCTTGCCGAGGACGGCTACTCCGGCGTGGAGGTACGCGTGACGCCGATGCGCACGGAGATCATCATCAGGGCCACGCGGACGCAGAACGTGCTTGGTGAGAAGGGCCGCAGGATCAGGGAGCTCACCTCCGTCGTCCAGAAGCGCTTCAACTTCCCGGAGAACGGCGTTGAGCTTTACGCCGAGAAGGTCGTCAACCGTGGCCTCTGCGCCATCGCCCAGGCCGAGTCACTCCGCTACAAGCTCCTCGGTGGCCTTGCCGTCCGCAGGTATGATAACGACCAATTCTTAAATGTTTTTCATATATGCGATTTGTAGATGCTAGTAAATGGTCAGAGCTGTTGTGATACACTTATCATTTGTTTAGATGCTATGAGATCTACATCAAATACTATTTGTAGTCCTTGAAGTTTGTGGTTAGCTTCATGTTTGTATGCACACTTAGTAAGGAAGTGATTATTGTTGCACCTGTGCTTTACTCTGCCCTGCTTTCTGATCGTGTTTGTGGGGCATTTGCATTAGTGCAAAAAGTAAAAGCTGTTCTTTGAAGCAGCAGTGGCCAGACAACCGTAGAGATAGATCCACAGATGAATGGCTGATTTGCTGCTTGTCTACTAGTTCTATCTCATATTTCTATGAATAATTTCCTGTAATTTATTGTCTTAGATTAGTCAGCATTACACAAATATCCAGAATGCAGTGGTTATGTTGCACCTTCTCCTTTGTGTTGTAGCGGTGCTAGTAGGATATATCACTGGTGCAAAAAGGAGAAGCTGCTCCTTGGTCACCAGCGGCTGTTGATATAGATCCACAGATGAATGGCCGACCTGCTGTTTGTCTACTGAATACTGATGCTATCCCTTGTTTCTTCTGTGCAATCTTGACATATTTGCTGTAATATCTGTCTTTTCCAGAACAGCTGTGCATTTTATGGCAAAATGTAGTCATTGATTTGAATCTATGTTAACTGTATGGTGCTGTTCACTTTAAATTACTGCATATATAATCTGTTCATTTCTGCTCTCTTATTATGATGATTGTGAGAATGGTTCACACATTCCTGCTTCTGTAGCAGTAGTGGCCAGACGACCATTGAGATATGTTGTTTGTCTACTAAATATATCTGGAATCTATTTCTCTTAATGATTTCTTGTTTTGTTTCAACCTTATGCTTTCTGTTGATGTTATATTTCTGCTTGTAGTTTCAATGGAATTGTTGATTTTATTGCAGGGCATGCTATGGTGTTCTTCGCTTTGTTATGGAGAGTGGTGCTAAGGGTTGTGAGGTAAATTTCCTCTGCACATGTGATCTGACATTCTTATCTTGCACTTCCTGTGTTTAGTTGCTGACTGCTCTCTTGATTTTGTACTAGGTCATTGTGAGCGGCAAGCTCAGGGCCCAGAGAGCCAAGTCGATGAAGTTCAAGGACGGGTACATGATCTCATCTGGTCAGCCTGTTAACGAGTACATTGATGCTGCAGTTAGGCACGTTCTTCTCAGACAGGTTTGTTTGCTGTGCTGCTTACTTAACCTTGTTTTTCCAGTTTGTTGCTCATGGAACTACATATGATTCAACATTGGCTTGGTTTTGTAGGGCGTTCTTGGTATCAAGGTGAAGATTATGCTTGACTGGGACCCCAAGGGCAAGCTTGGCCCTACCACCCCGCTGCCTGACCTTGTCACCATCCACCCCCCGAAGGAGGAGGACGAGCTGCGCCCACCGGCTTTGGTTGAGGTCTAAAGTCCCAATAGAAGACCATGAAACGGCACATCATTTTGGTCCTAGCTACTTTTCTATCCCTGTGATAAGCGAGGGCTATGCAACGCTTGGTTACCTACCTTACCTTTTAATGGACAAAAGTTTCTGTGTAATGCTTCTATGTTAATTTCGTTTAAACTAAGTTTTGCCGAGACAAGTTACTTATGTATGCCAGAAACCTTTGTTTGGATTGATTCTGCCCAGCTAGTTTGTTGCTCTTCGTTTGTGCCACCTTTTTACTGTTTGTTATGTCTTCTTATGCGTTCATTCCGTATCCACCTTTTTACAATCATAATTTGTTTTTTCAGAATTTTTTAAAATAATAATTTTCTCATCTATCTATTTTGTTGTTCACACCAGGAGCATATGAGCTCAGGTGTAGAAAGGTAGTATCGGAAATTCAGTTTTGTTTGAAGCAAGGTTGCTTTTGTTGGTCATTGAATTGAGCATCTTTTGGAGTTGCAGCTATGCGAGTCCTTGAAAGTAAAATCCAAAAAAGGAAATGAAAACAAATTCAAAACATTATGAATTTATTTTGTGGCAAACTTTGATAAAACGGTTGAATTGTCCGCAAAGATGGTTTGCTTTAGAGATGCAAATGTTAGTACTTGCGAAGTCAATTAAACTCCCCCTCGCGCGTTCCCCCTCATCGTTTTTATCGTGCCAGCGAGAGGAAAAGAAATACTGTGCTAGGTTTGTCTTTCGCGGCCCCACCGTGTCGTTTGCTTCGTCCCCATGCCCCCACCCCTTCTCTGAGGCACGCAACCTCTCCTCCCCTCCCAAAAATTTCTCTCTCGTTTGCCGCTGCCACGGCCTCGCCTTGTCGGCACATCCCAGGTCCTCCGGCGCTGGCCATCGGAGAAGGAAGCAAACTCAACATCCAGTTGTCCTCCTCCCAACCCAGGCACGTCGCCTCCTTCCCTCCCCTTCCCTCACTCCTTGCCCCTTCTCTGTCGCTCCTACCCCTTTCTTTTCTCAATCCGGATCTGTGGAGGTGGCCGGCGGAGAGGACGGTCATGGCAGGAGTGCTCAACGCGGGAGACGGCAGATCGATCCGCGGAGCTGCCTTATGCCTGCTTCCTCACCATGTTGCGACCACCGCCTCCGCAGGCCGGTCGTTGATGTCACTCTTCGGCAGAGGCGAGATTGGGTAGGAGCACGGGCGAGTGGGAGGCGTGGTGCTGCGAAGATGTGGGACACGTCACATACAGGAAGTGGGTGTGGCGTGAGGAGATGGGCGGCGACACCATTCGCTGGCTCCTGTAGCGGCTAAATTTCGTGTTTTGACCCTTTTGACAAACAATTTCAGGATCTGACCCTGGTTTGAAATATTTTCGGGATTTGACCCTTTTGCTACCGCCAGAGCCTCTGGCGGTAGGGTTAGACAGCCTACCGCCAGGGCCCCTGGCGGTAGGGTGTGACGGAGGGGACGGCGGCCGTCACCGCGTGCTGATGTGGACAAGTACCTTACCGACAGGGTCCCTGGCGGTAGGCTGTCTAACCTTACCGCCAGTGCCTCTAGCGGTAAGGTGTGACAGGGTTTTGCCGTGCAGACATTCTGTAACGAAAGATGCAAGGGCCCTCGCGGTAGGTTGTCTGACCCTACCGCCAGGACCCCTGGTGGTAGAGTCTTGTGTTTTGCTGTATATAGCTTCTGTAACGAAATATGAAAGGGCCCCGGCGGTAGGTTGACCCTATCGTCATGGGGGCTGGCGGTAGGTTGTCTCACCCTACCGCCAGGGTGCATGGCGGTAGGGTCCTCTGTTTTGTTTTTTCAAGTTCATTTGGTTACTTGTTCTCAAATTCAATATGACAGCAATATCACAGCAAGTTTCACAAATATGACAACAATATCATAGATTTTAAACAATTAAACTTGGGCATCACAGAGATCCATATTAAGATAACTTGAAGTGCATAGAACATTTCAAACACATAGATCCACAAATAGAAAACACATAGTTTCACGTAGTTTCACAACCACTAGACAAGTTCAACCAAACGAAGTTCAACCGAACTAAAAGAGCCAAGTATCGAAGAGCATAATCAATTGCTCCTTCCCCTCTTGGAGGTACGGTCCTCGTTACTCTTTGAACGAGTCTCTTCGGTCTTCTTCTTGGGCCGGCGAGGAACCGGTCTCTGGAAAGGGTCCGGACTCAGCAAATCCTTCTTGTTCGGATTCCTCTTCGGCAGCTGAGATGCTTGAGATGTTTGAGTTGGTGGAGGTCCATAATCTTCATCGTACTCCTCCTCCCCGTTGCTCTCCTCCTCCTCCCCTTCTTCATGTGTGGCCTCCTCCTCCTCCCCAACTAACCTAGACGACGAGGGAGCATGGCTCGATGAGCCGATGAGACCCTGTGTGGCTACAGGCTAATAAGCTTCAACTGACCCAGCTCTAGCACACCCAAGCAGCCTTACCAGCTTGCGACAATGCTTCACGAACTTCTGCACTCACAATGAAACAAGGGCATAATAAGTATCAGATCGACTGATTGCAAGTGAACAAGATGCATCTGTTCCGAGGAGGCTGAAATTGTACCTTCATCGTCCCCCTCACTTTGTTCTCAGATTCTATGCTCCCGGTGTTACGGCATATCTCTCTCAAGGTAGTTTCGGTGATTGATGACAACATGTTTGCGGACTAATCTTGTGCTTTGAATAATTCACAGATTCTCCCCTGGCACGAGACGCTTTCTTCCCCTCGGAGTGTATTTCAAGACGGTGTAGCTCTTTCGTTTCTTTCTCGGTGGACTAGTTGCGTAGAGGGCACCGTACTATCAAGAGGGGGCCCGCTGGGGTTTTGCATGGGTGGAATCATCACGTACACATCAGCTTCTCACCCTCCGAGCTTTTCCTGTCCATTGAAGAGATCTCTCCTCTCTTCCTTGTTCTGTCTGGGTCTAAGCGGCAGTACCGCGCACCCAGCGGTAGTACCGCTGAGAAGCCACAAGCGGCAGTACCGCTTCGCATCGGTAGTACCGCTGTGGCTCCACACCAGTAGTACCGCTGGGGGCCTGGCACATCCGCCGTGTCCTCAGCATTTTTGATAGATCCCTTCTCTCTCTCTCGCGCGCCCCAGCGGTAGTACCGCACTGCCTGCGGTACTACGGCCGAAGGGTCACAAGCGGCAGTACCGCTCCACAGCGGTACTACCGCCCTTGACCCCACTGCCGTAGTACCGCTGGGTAGTCTGGCTCCTACCGCCTCGATTCGAGAGGTCTTTTTCTCGTGTCGGGTTTTGTGGCACTAGTCACGGTTGTAGTGGCGGTAGTACCGTTCCAGGAGCGGTAGTACCACCCTACCACCGCGGTAGTACCGCTATTGGGGTCCGTTCCCTACTAAGTCTCCTCAGGGCGGCAGTACCGTCGCCTGGCGGTAGTACCGCCCCCTCTCAGCAGTAGTACCGCCCTGTGCGGGGCTGGTTGGTGGGGGGGCAACGGGATTGTTGCCCCCACTATAAAAGGGAGTCCCCTTCCTCCTTCTCACTTACCTCTTCCTCCCCCAAAGCTCCATTTATTGCTCAAGCTCCATTAAATACTCCAAGCTTCATTTTGCCCGATCTATCTCCCTAGCCAATCAAACTTGTTGATTTGCTCGGAAGTGGTTGAGAAGGCTCCGATCTACACTTCCACCAAGGGATTTTCGATTCCCCCACTCATCCCTAGCGGATCTTGTTACTCTTGGGTGTTTGAGCACCCTAGACGGTTGAGGTCACCTCGGAGCCATATTCCATTGTGGTGAAGCTTCGTGGTCTTATTAGGAGCCTCCGATTAAGTTGTGAAGATTGCCCCAACCTTGTTTGTAAAGGTTCGGTCGCCGCCTTCAAGGGCACTAATAGTGGAATCACGGCATCTCGCATTGTGTGAGGGCGTGAGGAGAATACGGTGGCCCTAGTGGCTTCTTGGGGAGCATTGTGCCTCCACACCGCTCCAATGGAGACGTACTTCCCCTCAAAAGGAAGGAACTTCGGTAACACATCCTCATCTCCACCGGATCCACTCTTGGTTATCTCTTACCTTTACTTGTGCAAGCTCTTTAGTGTTTCTACCCTTGCTTGCTTGTATGCTTGTTGATATTGCATCATATAGGTTGCTCACCTAGTTGCACATCTAGACAACCTACTTTGATGCAAAGTTTAATTTGGTAAAGAAAAGCTAAAAATTGGTAGTTGCCTATTCACCCCCCTCTAGTCAACCATATCGATCCTTTCAATTGGTATCAGAGCTTTGTCTCTTTATTAAGGACTTTACCGTCCAAAGAGTATGGTTGATACCGTAGACGGTGTGGAGGAACACTCCGGTGTGAATCCGATCTCGTCTACGGGAGATGGGGGAACTTCGGTCTCTCGTGAGGAGTTCAATGTGGCCTTGGAGACATTGAAAACCTCCATGACAACCGAAGTTGAAAGCATGTTTACTAAATTTCTTGAGGGGCTTAAACTTTCCACCCCACCGTTGAAAGTGGGTGATCCCGCCAACAAGGTGTCGGATGCTATCCCCGACAAGGGGGAAGCTAGTAGTGAAAAGGCTCCTTCTTCTAGTGGCAAGAATGGCACCGGCATCTTTGCCCATGTGGAACCACCACTTGTTTATGGTGGACTGGTTCCCTCCACTCATTTGAATCATGCCGGTCCTCCCCCTAAGATTGTGAAAAATGAGGATTTTGATTCTTGGGTTTACCACTTTAAACGTCATTTAAATCATGTGAACACTAACCTTTGGAGAATCATTGAAGAGGGTTTCTATTCACATTATCCAAGCAACTTCACTCCTCGAGAAGCCGCGGACAATCAATTCAATGAGAATGCTATCTTCATCATTCAAGATGCAATTCCACCTGAAGACCTACCTCATCTTCGTCCCTTCGCCTTGGCCAAAGATGCATGGCATTGTGTCGTGTCTCTCTATCGGGGAAGTGCAAGCATTCAACGGTCCAACTATGAAGTGGTACAAGATGAGGCCGATGAGTTTGCAATGAAGGAA